TTTTTTGCAGTACTAGGATTAACTCAGGATCTCCACACCAAGCTACGTCCCTGGTCCCTTTTTATTTTTTGTCTTGAGATGGGTTCTGGCTAGGTTGCTAAGCCGCCTGAGCTGGGATGGAAATTGTACTGGGCTCGCAGCAGGTGCCACCACCTGCTGGGCTTTGTTTTCGTGCAGGTGCAGACACCTGGTGCTTGTTTGCCGACTCACCTGTGTGGGCTGACTGTGTGTCAGGTGTGGGAGCTAATCGTGAGGAAGGTTACCGAGGGCTTCGAGGCGGCAGGTGCCTGGAATGGCTCCCTACCCATCCTATCTTGTGTTTATCACCGTAACAGCCCTGGAAGCAGCAGCTACTGGTGCTACTGCACCGCGAGGGATGCTGTTCAGGAGGCAGGTCCGAGGGCAGGTGGGACAGCAGCCAGGCTGGCCAGGGAGGAGGGACCTACAGAGCAGTGCCCGCACAGAGGTCTCAGCCCAGCTCCCCGTGCTGACCAGGGCCATGCTGGCTTCTGTGCTCCTGGGGCTGGGGCGCAGCAAGCTCGTCCTCACGAGGCCTCAGACTGGCCCAGCGCTGCCATCCAAACTGGGGTGGTCACCGGACTGCTCAGCCTCTGCTTTGCCCATCAGCAGTGGGCATCCAGCGCGGACCTTGCCCGTGGGAGCTTGGGAGCGGGACTGGGTGGGGCTGCTGGGATTTGGGGACCCTGGAGGGGTAGTGGGCAGAGCCGGGACCTGCTCCTCATCTTCACTGGGGGCCTCCCTGGAATCCCACTCTGGCAGGGCTTACCGTGCATGGGGAACGTGCGGTTTGCAAGGTCTATTAACCAAGGGCGCTGGGGCGGAAGGAGGTGCAGAACAGGCTCCGGTGCTGCCAGGGAGAAGGTGGGTGGTGACGCCTGCAAGGGGCCACCTCACAGACAGTGGTCGCAGGCAGGGGCCTCCCAGCAGGTGCTGCCGCGGGCCAGCAGCTTCCCCTGAGAGCAGAGTAGCTCCTGCCGGGGGCGTGGTGGCCTCACTAAAGTGACCTCTGCGCCTCTCCCGGGGCTCCGCGGCTGACAGTCTGAGAGCTGAGTCTGTGCAGGGCTCCTCTGGCCAGGCGGTCGGGGTGCAGTCGGCCCTCGGGAGTCACGGCCAGTCCACCCGACACCTTCCCGAGACTCCGGCCCTGGGCCCCGACCGCTGCTCACGCCTTCCCTTCCCCAGGTGGCGGGTGTGAGTGGACCCCCCCACAGTGCCCATGTGGCTGGTGGCCCCACCTCTGTGCGTGTCCCTGCTGGGTGCTGCCCACTGAGGGCCTCTTTGAGTCCTCGGGAGCCTGAGGGGCACACGCATCAGGGTACTTGGAGTGGCTCTGAAGCGCCGCGGCTGCTGATGCATGGACATGTGTGTGTTTCTCACGTCCCAACGTCCTCCTTGCCAGCCGGGGATGGCATGCGGTCACAGGCCCTAATGATGGGGTTCAGTTCTGAGAAGGCTGCGCTGTGCTGGCACCGTGGGGCACACTCACACCCACCGTGCACGGCTGGGCCCTCCGAGTGGCCCTGGACACCACAAGAGGGGCAGGAAGCACAGGGCGGGCAGGCTGCTGTGCGTCACACACGCAGGGGTGGCAGTGGGTTGCTCTTATAAGTAGCAGTGCACACCATGGTACTCTCACAGCACGGTAAGCACACGCACCAGGATCCACCATGGTGTCGTTATCCAGTGCTGTGTGCCGAGCTCATTCACCCCCGGGGGAGGCCTCGTCCTGTGTGTCCCAGGCAAGAGGGTTTCTCACTGGATAGCAGTCCTGGAGACCGTCACTCTGCTGTCCCTCCCCAGCCAGTCACGGGTCTCTGTGTGTACATCTCCTGTGAACCATCCCTCCTGGTTCAAAGCAGTGCCTTTTTCACTCAGTATCAATAGCTGAGAGGCACAAACCCATTTTAGGGACGAAAACCCAAGTCCCAGGGCCAGGTGACTGGGCAGGTTGCAGGCTCTGGGGATCCGAACGTGGGGCCTGCATCCCACACTCGTGTTGTTTCTGGGGTCTAAGGGCAGGGTGGGGCCTCTTTCCCCTCATCCTGGCTGCAGAGTGGCCGTCTGCAGGCGCGCCTCTGCCCAGTGCTGGTGAGTGACAGACTAAGGTCCCCCAAGCTGGGCCGTGCTCCCGAGGTGGACTGGGGTGGAGGGTGACCCAAAATGACTCTAAGAGGAGCGGACTTCGGGGGTCGTCGGGGCAGGGACATGGCCGAGCCACCCACTCCTCTTCTGTGTCTCCTGGCAGCCTGCACACCGTGGCCACCAGGGGTCGACGTGGCTCTCAGGGGCAGGTGATGGACTCGAGCGAAGGGAAGTCCTGGGGACCCAGAAGAGCATGCAGAGTTGGAGCCAGGGGCCCGGCTGAGCAAGGGAGGGGCAGGGCGTCCAACGTCTTGAGTTGGCTCCGCTCTGGAGCTGGCAGCCCTGTGGGGGACAGAACGCTAGACTGGCACAGCCTGCAGGGCCACGCTGAGTGAGTCCGGGTCCCATGGACAGCAGGGCTGGCTAAGCTGTCATCACCGCCGCCATCCTGACATCAACACTGGCGCTGGCTCAGGACGCTGCCACGAAAAGCCATGTGGTCCCAGCTGCTCCTCGCGGGAAGTTTGCTCAGTCCTGGCTGTGCGTGGAGTCTCTGGCTCCTTTGTTCTCAGTGTGTGTGCGCGTGTACTTGTCAAGGCAGCACAAGTGCTGTATGTAGGCTGCTTCAGGCTGCAAAAGGCTGCTCTGGCAGGGGACTGGGTTGGTGCCTAAGGGAGAGGTGTGGGCCCTGGGGTGCAGGCGAGGACGCCCCAGTGCGTGGGAGGCCGAGTTGTGAGGCCTGGGTGGATGGGTGGATGAGTCATTGGCAGTACGCCTTCTCTGCGCTCTCTGGCTGGCTGGGGAGGGGAGAAGCCAGGCGGAGGGAGGCAGCGTGGGCTCCTCCCTGGCCCCATTGCTGTTTGCGTGCTGCTGCAGCTGTGTCCCTCTCCTCCCTCTCCCCTGGCCTGGTTCCCCCTTCCTCAGTTTCCCTGGCCTGGCACCAGAGTTTACCTCCAGCTTGGACGTGTGGGGGTCCCAAGCCACCCTGGCAGCTCCCCCGGCAGCATGCGGTGTCCGGGGTGCTCGAGTCTGGAGCAGACAGCCTGGGTCACGGCAGCCAGGATGAGGACTCGGGAGGTTGGTGCTGGCCCTGCCCAGGAGGCCAGGGTGTCTCTGAGCCCTGAGGGAGACAGAGCTGGTGGGCCCACGGGGCCTGCTGTGGTCCCCAGGCCCTCTGCGAGGCTGAGCTGGTGGCCAGCAGTCTGCTTGTCCTCTGGATACGCACAGTGCTCTGGTCCTCGGTACTGCCTCCTAGTACCTCCCAGGGATGCTGGTGGGCATCCCCTGCAGGCTCCACCCCCGCTCCTCCGCAGGGGGACTGTGAGTTAACAAGCACTGCCAAGTCCAGGACAGTCAGGGAGCACGTCACTCCCTGCTGCTGCTGTGTCGCTCACAAGGCAGGGCGGGCTCCCTGAGTCTGGCTGCTTCCCATGTGGGAGGTCAGGCCCCTCACCGTGGTCAGCCCCAGTGGCTCTGGAGTCGCCTTTCCTCGTGCCCTTCAAAGACGGGCAGGACCTGTCTCGGGCAGGGCCTCTCCTCCTGGTGATCTCCACAGAGCCCAGAGATGCCAGCTACCAGGTGCCTCCCTCTACCCTCCTTCTCCACTAAGCCTTGTGGCCAAGGTCGCATCAGTGGGGCTCCTGCTTGGTCACAAGAGCTCCGGCCTGGGGTACAAGCCTCCCTCACCACTGGGGCCTCTCCCACTGCCCCTCTGGTTCTGATGAAGGCCGCTCCTTCCCGGGCAGCCCTGGCCCCAACTCCCATGCTAAGCTCTGCAGCTGGCTGGTGTCCATGGACCGTGTTGGTGGAGGGCTCCTGAGTGTCCTGTCCATGCTGCCCTGGCACTGGGGCTGCCAGCTCGGTCTCCAAAGTGGGAGGCAGAGAAAGTCCCTCCTGCTTCTCTCACCTGTTGGTCCCACCCAGGTGCCCAGTGAGTCCCCTTTCTCTCCCGTCCTTGGCACTTTGCACGCTTTCCCGCTGGTGTCACTCTCGCCTGGGCTTGGAACCGCTTTCCTGTGGCAGTGGTTGTCACCACTGAGACTCCTGGGAACATTTATTGGCCCGTGAGACCATCAAGAGGATGGTGGCTTTCTCTGGAGGGCGGCTCCTGGCTCAGGACACAGCTCTCCCTGTCCCCTGCACCAGCCCTGCCCCTCCCACTGGGAGTGGGCTGTGTCTGATCAGCAGCCCTACGATGCCTCTTCCTTTGTGGCTTTGTGGCCAAGCCCACTGTCATATCTCACTCTGGCTGTGGCAGCTGGGCCTCCTGTTCTCGGGTGTGACCAGCCGCTCCTCTGAGTGCTGCTCTCTTAGAGTTCTGGAAAACTCCGCGCCCGGCTGCCAGTACTCTGTGATGCCCTTGCGCACTTGATGTGATGGACGCCACGTTCCCTACACGGCGCCACTGTTGAGGCCTTGGTTGAGGCCTAGGAGGTGGGAAAGGGGAGGCAGAGTTTCCCCTGCGGGGTGAGGAGCTCTGGTCAGCACTCAGGGCAGAGCGCTGCCTGCCTTGCTCAGGGGAGGTGTGGCGTGGCTGTGTGTGACATGTGTGTGCCCTGCACACCCCTGTGTGGGCACTGAGACCAATGTGAGGTATCGATGCAGGCCTTAGAAGGGGAAGAAGGGCTCCACCTCATGAGTGGCATCAGTGGCCTGCTCCTCCAGTCTGCACTTTCCCGACGGGGGAGGACAGCCACGGCGTGGAGCAGCCACCCCACAGCAGCTCAGCAGTGAGAGATGCATTTCTGCTCTCTACACGTGACCAGGTCTCTGACATTTTGCTACAGCAGCAGCAAGAGCCGACGGAGACAGATGGGGACTCTGGGGACTGGGACGGGGCGGGTCCAAGAGCACGGAGACCCTGTGGCCTGTCCCGATCGCTCTCCCGGCCTGCGCAGGTGACTGCTGGCTCCTGGCGGCCATCGCCTCCCTGACCCTGAACGAGAAGCTGCTGTCCCGCGTGGTGCCCGGGGACCAGAGCTTCCAGGAGAACTACGCAGGCATCTTCCGTTTCCAGGTGTGGGGCCTCACACTGGCCTTTGTCCCCACTTTCCTTACCCCCGGGTCTACAGGGTCCGAGCTCTGGCGTGGGCCCAGCAGCCGTGCTGAGCTGTCCCCCGGGACCGCAGTGTGCACTTCACTGAGAGCCGCTCCCGGAACCTCGCACACCCCCTTCCACCGGCCCTGTGGCCTGGACCGGGTCAGAGACATGCGTCTGGTCACCGCCTGTGCTTGCGGGGGACACTGGGCCGGTCCTCCGCCCACAGCACAGAGACAAGTCTAGGGGCTTCCTGGTCCCCGAGGCATCTGCCCTTGTGAATAAGTGAGGCCCAGACCCCCGCCTGAGCCAGGCTGCACAGCAGGGTCCCCAGGTGACAGCCTTGTGCTCTCCCAGTTCTGGCAGTATGGCGAGTGGGTGGAGGTGGTGGTGGACGACAGGCTGCCCACCAAGGACGGGGAGCTGCTGTTCCTGCACTCGGCCGAGGGCACCGAGTTCTGGAGTGCGCTGCTGGAGAAGGCCTACGCCAAGTGAGTGCCTGCCCGTGCCCAGGGACCCTGCGCCCAGCCACACGGTGTCTCCAAGTCCTTCCTGCACCCACAGCTGCTGGGCGGAGAAAAGGCACCCTCTGGACAGGGGTCCCGAGGCCGCTGTGTCCCCAGGGGGTGGCCAAGGCTGGCTTGCTCTCCCCAGGCAGGCTCTCGCCCAACGTGAGTTTCTGGCCGAATGACAAGGAGGAAATGAACGGCTGTCGACAGCGAGCTCCCGGTCTGCAGTCTGCTCCTCATGGCTCCCGGGCTCAGGGACCGCTTTTTGGGCTCGGCCGACCACTCTTAGGCTGTCGCAAGGGTCCCTGGGTATCCAGGCGGCTGTCCTTGGCCTGTGTGGCTTAGGGGCCGGACAGGGAGCCGGGGCTCCGGTCCTGGGCAGTGCTGTGGCCCTGTGAAGTGGCCCACAATCGAAATCAGTCCAGGTCTTTGGCTTAGGCCCCGGGGCTCACTGGCCCCTCTCCGCCCGGCTGCGGTCCCTCACTGAGCTGTGGGCTTGCAGGAGCTGCCACTTTCTGCTCCAACAGGCTCAACGGGTCCTATGAGGCTCTGGCTGGCGGCTCCACGGTGGAGGGGTTCGAGGACTTCACGGGTGGCATCTTGGAGTTTTACGACCTGCGGAAGCCCCCGGCCAATCTGTACCGCCTCATCCAGAAGGCCCTGCGTGCGGGGTCTCTGCTGGGCTGCTCCATTGACGTGAGTGGACGCTGCCCTGTGTCCCCAGTGTGGTGGGAAGGACTGGGGGACAGGCCGCAGGGCTTTGGGGTCTGCGGCCACGCAGCCCTGCCTGGCTGATCCAGGGGGTTAGTGGGGATGACCCTGCGTGCCGCCCGGCGAAGCCCCCCGGGGCCTTGGCTGTGTCCTCGCGAGGTGCAGCAGGGCTGGCTCCAAAGAGGCCCCAGCCGGCGACCCAGGCAATTGCTCCCGACTCAGGTCTCCAGCGCAGCCGAAGCTGAAGCCGTCACCCGCCAGAAGCTGGTCAAGAGCCACGCGTACTCTGTCACTGGGGTTGAAGAGGTAAAGCCCTCGAGAAGGGAGGGGACACAGAGGGCTGGTGTTACGCACCTGGGGAACCCGGAGGGGCAGAGGGCTCCCTCGGAAGAGGTCCCATGGCCTCCAGCTTCCCGCCTGCTGGCGCTGCTTTTGGCTGCCCATGGGCGTGCAGGCGGCTCCTGCCGTGACTGGGGCCCTCTCGGGCCTCGGAGCCCATGTCTTGGTGCCTCTGGGTGTCCGCCCTGGGGTTCTGACCTCCAGCAAGTGCTCAGCTAGTACACAGCCAGGAGAGCTGTGAGACGGCCAGCCTGGGTCTGTCCAGACGCCCCTGGGGTGTGGTGTGCAGGGGGGCTGGAAGCCTGTGGGATCCCCCAGGAGAGGAGAGGTACATCCCCACCCACTCTCAGGGCTGGAAATGCCCAGAAGGTGGGCTGCGGCTGCATCTCTGCTGAAGGAGGGAAGCATGAGCTGTAGGGTTCTTTATTTTTATTTCTTATGTTCTGTGTCTTGCCTAGAAGGAGTTAAGGGGCTCACAGTGGGAAGATACAATCCGACCATAGCACTGGGGTAAATAGGCTAAGACAGGGTGACTCAGACCTTTGATTTATTAGGGTCGTGTGCATGCTCAGTGCACACTCATTGTCTCCCACAAGTGTGTTTCTCTAATCAAGTAAACCCCATAAATGTGAGCTGAATGTGCGAGTGTAAACACTGGGCTAGGACACGACAGGAGTTAAGATAGCGCAGACCAAACAGACCAGACCACCAGGTGTGTGTGTGCGCGCGCGTGCATATGTGCACAGGCGGAGATGGCCTGAGTGTGCACTAAGCTGCACTGGGACATGGTGTCTGGGCCCCTTTTCTCTTGGATGAAGGCCCCAAGATGGGCATGGGGTAATGTACGAAGCAGACTCGCATTTTGCTTGCCAACACGAGGCTGGGGCGTCTAAGGCTGGTGGCTACACAGCCGGGTGAACAGCGCATCTGGAAGGGGCTGGCCTCCCCTGCAGTCCGCCCCTGGCCCCTGGCCCCTACCAGGAGGCCTACCCGCCCTGCAGGGGCCACTGAGCTCCCTGGGCCTGAGGCTTCCTGAGCGCCCCCTCCAGACCTGGCCTCGGCGGTGGTCAGAGTCCATGTGGGGTCCACACTGGGTGGGTGGGTGGAGTCCCGACCCCACTCCTGACCAGGTCGTCTTGTGGGATGGAGTTCTTGAGTCACAGGCTTCCAAGAAGAGTACCGCGTCAGTGGGCCTCACCAGTGCAGCCAAGGTGGTGTCCCCTGCACTCAGCACATGCCCGGTGTGCAGAACACGGGCACACGCTGACTGCAGTGCTGCTGGTGCCTCCGGGGGGCGCTCGTCACAGGTCCCTTATGCTAAGGTCAGAGCCAACCCACCAGCACGGTGTTGCCCGCCCCAGGGATCAGGGAGGGGTTGCAAGCTCAGTCCCAGCCCCGGCAACTGAGTGAGGCTCTGCCTCGAGTAAAAATGAGAAGAGGTGCAGTGGTGGCTCAGTGGGCTCTGCATTCCACCCCAAGACCACACAGGACAAACAGAGCAGAGTAGAAAAGGAGCAGAGTGACCTCTGGCAAGTGTCGCACCAGTCCCAGTGGAAGCAGACACACCCTGGTTCCGTGCCGGGCTCACTCTCCCGTACTCAAAGAAGTGAGGAGAAGCAGGGCACTCGCCACAGCTGAAAGCAGGCAGCAAAGGAAACCAGTGTGCCAGCAGGGGGCCTGGGAAGGCTCCGGCCCAGGCCACGTGGCTGTGGCCTTCAGAGGCCTCTCTGCGACCTGCAGGTGGATGTTGGGGGCCGCCCGGAGCAGCTGATCCGACTGCGGAACCCGTGGGGCGAGGTGGAGTGGACGGGAGCCTGGAGTGACGAGTAGGTCCCCCCGCCCCCGTCGGCAGGAAGGGGCCCAGGTCACGGGGGCTCCACAGATGGCTCAGCAGCTGGGAGGTCGCTGGGAGCGGGCTGGGAGTAGAACAGGAGCTTCCACTCGAGGGCTTTGACTGGGGCCTCTGCCCTGGCCTTTGAGAGCCCGGCAGCCCCTCGGGGCCACGTGGTGGTGCATGGGCCCCATGCTGCCTCCCGCCATGCCACGCCATGGGCTCTGAAGGCTGAGTCCATCAGCCCCAGGCGGCTCTGTGCACTAGGACAAAGCTGCACTGCTGAGGAAGTGTGGCCTGGGCCCCACGGGCAGAGAGGGGCGGTGTCCACACCTGAGCCCAGCGGGGCGGGTGCTGGTCACAATGGCAGGGCCAGTCTGCAGGCTCACGTCCCCGATCTCTGTGCCTGCTCTTGATGTCCACCGTGCAGAGAAAGCTTGGCTCCGTCCAGCCGCCCACTGGGGGCAGTGAGGTGGCATCGACACCAGCCGTGGCCACTGGTGAACCCTGGAGCCCCGAGGGGACCCCGAGCTCAGCCCGAGGTCCAGCTAGATCCTTCTGTTTTATTTTTTATGTTTGAAAAAGCCAAGGGGAGAAAAGGTTGGATCTGGAATTCTCTGACAGGCCTCCTAATCTCTGATTGTAACAAGCACATCCTGAAATTAGATCTGATTATGATGAATTAAAGAAGCTCTGAGAGCCAGGTGTGGTCACGCACACCTGTGATCCCAGCTCTGGAGGAGGCCAGGCAGGAGATCACAAGTTCCAGGTCAGCCCGAGCAGCTTAGCAACTTCCTGAGACCCTGTCTCAAAACTAAGAAGCTCTGTGTGAAGGCCCTGAGTTCACTTCCCGGTACCAGAAAATTTTAAAAGCCTCAAAGACCCTGGCTCCCTGGGGTGGGGAGGCCGGCTGTGGGCAGAGTAGCTTGGGGCTTGGGCTGCCCCGCCCTCAGGCAGGATAGGGGCTGCGCGGTGCTGATCTATCAGGGCAGGGGTCCCCACACTGCTCAGCGATTCAGACCCTGGGCCAGCTGGGGAGGGGCAGGACAAGCCGACTGCCCCCAGCCGCAGGCCACATGGGGTCCCCTCAGGGAAGCTGCCACAAACTGCACCCAGCATCCCCCCTGCGGCTCAGGGGGTGGACCGTCCCCAAGCCCAGCACAGGCCCCAGCCCAACCCAGGTCCTGGTCCTGCCCTCAAGGCCCGGGTGCTCCGACCAAGCCCCATCCCCATGACCACCTCTGACCTCTCCTCCCCAGTGCTCCAGAGTGGAGCCGCATTGACCCCAGGCGGAGGCAGGAGCTGGACAACAAGGCGGAGGACGGCGAGTTCTGGTGCGCCGGCCCGGCCCTGTCACATGGGTGCCGTCTTCCGGGGGGCGACAGGGTGGCTCACCCTTTCCCGGTTCAACCCCACCCTAAGCCTGGGTCTGTAGCCCTGGTGGCCCGGCCTGCACCCATCCGCCTCCCCCGCAGCCAGTCTGCCCCCTCAGCCTCAGTTTCTCTCACTGTCAGGATGTCCTTTCCGGACTTCCTGGTGCAGTTCTCGCGCCTGGAGATCTGCAACCTGTCCCCGGACTCCCTGAGCAGTGAGGAAGCTCACAAGTGGAGCCTGGTGCTGTTCCAGGGGCGCTGGGCACGGGGCGCCACCGCCGGGGGCTGCCAGAACTACCCGGGTGAGGTGCCTGCGCCGTGTCCTCTGGGGGCCGAGGACTCGCCCTCGGGGTGACGCCTCTGGGCCCTTGACCCTGCTCCTGCTGCAGCCGCACGGCCTGATGTGGGTTCCGATCACCGCTTGTGCTGCCCGCCCTGACCTCAGGTCCTGCTCTTCCTGCTGCCCCACCCGGCACCCGCCCAGGGCCTGCTCTTCTCCTGGCTTTGCCACCCCGTCTGCCCACTGAGCGCTGGGCTGGGCTGGGGGTCCTGTGGCAAGCGGGTGGTGCTTGGGAACCGGAGACACCTCCCCCGCAGAGCTGCCTTGTTTGTGTCTGGGTCAGCCACGGGGTCGGGGGGGGGGGCAGGGGAGGGCCAGCCCTGGCTACCCTCCCTGCCGCCTCTGCAGAGCCCTGGGTCCCTCCTCAGTGGGGGCCGCCACCTGTACCGAAAGATCCCTACTGTGTGCTTGGCAAGCTCCTCCCAGCTCGCTCCCTTGGCAGCTCCTGATGAAGGACCCTGAAAACAGCCCATTTTGGAGACACAGGAAAGCAAACCCTGGTCTCTCCGCTCCGCTGCTCCACCTGTGTTACTGTGATGATTTGTGTTGATTGACTTAGTGTCCGTCTGCATAGGAGCCTGGCTGGGACTCTTCCCCTGTGGGGCCCTGCTTGAGTGGGTTCCTCCCTGCGCCCCTCCTGGGCACAGTCCTGGGTCTGGACAAGGCCCCTCTCCCTCCCCCACCTATCCAGACCTCCCATTCCTGGCTGCAGAGACCAGAATTGGGGCGCAGGAAGGGGGTCTGTGCTCAGCTTGATAGCCCCGAGGGCCTGGGAGGGGCATTTTCTTCCCCAGTTTGAGCTTCCGTTTCTGGATCCTAAGACAGAAGATGATTACCAGCTCCCTGCCTCCTGGGCCTCGCGTGCAGGGTGCGCGGAGCATGGGCATCCTGCATTCGGGGTGTATTGTTTTTATGGCTGCAGTCAGGCTGCGTTTGGGAGAAGTGTAGCCTTGCTCACCAGCAGTGGGCTCTCAAAAACAGGCCGTGCACACGCCGTGCTGCAGGCTAGGAACTGCAGGCCCGGGGCCTCTGTGTACTGAGTTGAGCCCACCTGCCCCCCCCCCCCCCCCAGCATCAGGCGGAAGTGGGTTTGGGCCCTTCAGTAATGGTGTAGAAATGCAAGGTCCCCAAGCTTCCTGTGCCTGGAACCTGCTCTGAAATCTGTACACTTGTGCCTTAATAAACCATCTGCAAGTGGAGGCTCTGGGGAGGTTGAATTGCATAACCAACTCTCCTGCTAAGAAAAAGCGGTAGGCAGGCTCCTGTAGGCTGTGAATGCCGCTGTTATTTCACTTTGAGGACATGAAAAACCCACCGACTCAAAAACAGAACCAAACCAAGCACACCAGTCCCTCCCATCCCGTGGACCCAGCGCTGCTGAGGCCACCCAGTGAGCAGACGTCCCAGGTCCCCTCCCTTGTTGATTCTGCTCTGCTGCTGGGTTCGGCCATGGAGCTGCTGTGGGCCTTGGGTGTCCAGATTCTCGTGCTCCATGGTGACCCCTCTATTCTGAGAGATGATTTGAAACCTGTCTCTGAAGCCAAGGCAGGCATCTTGATAGGCCACAGGGCAGCAATGCCTGGACAGCTGTGGGTCCTCACTCCATGGGTGACTGGTTGTGACAGTGGGGCTCTCATCAGGGGCCATAACACTGTTGCCCAAGGCCTGAGGCCAGTGGACAGGATTCATTCTGGGGGTTCTTCAGCTGAGGACCTGTGGGAGGGAGAACCTGTGAGAGTCAGGTGGCTCTACCTGTGGGCAGAGCCCCTGCAGCTAGACTCTGAGGGACGCTGTTCCTCTGTCCCCGAGGATGTGCCTCCCTTCATCCAGCAGCCGAGAACAAGGAGCTGGCAATGACTCTGCCTCCCCAGGGAGACCAGGGGCTGCTTCCTGGAGCATTGAAGGGCAGTCCAGGGACGGAGGGGCTGCAAATGTCCCCAGCCAAGCAGTCTGGGCTCCTGGTCGACCCAGGAGGAGGGCAGAGGCTGCTTTCCTTGGGTGATCAAGCCTCTACTTCATTCTTCTATTTCATCTTTCCCTCTCCCCATCCCACGGGGGCCGCCATCACCGGCGACTCCAGCCACCTACTGGACGAATCCTCAGTTCAAGATCCACCTGGACGAGGCGGATGAGGACCAGGAGGAGGGCGTGGGGGAGCCTTGCTGCACGGTGCTCCTGGGACTGATGCAGAAGGACCGGCGGAGGCGGCGCCGGCTGGGTCAGGGCCTGTTGAGCATCGGCTTTGCAGTCTACCAGGTGAGCTGGGGTCTGCACTCACTGCCAGCCTTGCTACGCTCCATGCTCTGTCACCTGCATCCTGCTACACTGAGCCCCTCTCCCCGAGGCCCTCCCTCCCCAGGCTGCCCCAGCGAGACCCCTTCCCACCCAGTCCTGTCCAGCAGGCTCAGCGCCCGGGGGTCATCAGACTGGCTGCGCTGCGTGGAGGGAGAGGCCCCTTCCTCCCACCCAGGCACCTGGGGTCCTGGGGCCTTGCAGTCCCCCTCGCTTGGTGTCTCTAGGTCACAAGCGGGAATGGCCCTGGCCTCAGCGTGCGTCCAGGCTCAGGATGCAGTTTTCCCTGCTGTCCACCCACCTGGGCTGCTTCAGCCTCACAGATTTAACCCAGACCACTGTGAGGCTGAAGCAGGAGGTCTGCAAGCTCGAGCCCAGTCTGGGCAACTCAGTGACTTAGTGAGACCCTGCTCAAAAAATAAGGAAGGGCGGGGTGTGTGGCTCAGGCAAAGACCTTTCGGGGCGACAGGGCAGTCTGCTTTTGGACCACAGGCTGGAGTCCGCTTGTTTATTCAGACAAGACTCCTTATAAGGAATCTCAGAGGGGTTCCCAATGGCTTTTCTTTCTACAGTTTTGTTAAAAATACTTTTCTTGGGAAAAATACAATTCTAATCAGGAGACAAAGAGCTGAACAAGAACCCAAGGACGCGTCCAGTCTTGCGCTCTGGAGCCACGGGGTGGGGTGGGAGGCAGAAGATCTGGGGATGAACACGCTCCGCCGTACCCCACACCTCTTCTGTTCCCCCGGGATGTGAATAGCACAAACACCGAGGGCTGCTTGGGACAAAAGCTGAGGCTCCCTGCGTGTGCACACGGGAGCTTCTGCTGGAGCCAGGAGCAGGGGAAGTGGGGACACACAGGCGTGGCCCTTGAGCACGGCCCTGAGGTGCTCACCGCCTGCACTGGGAACCAGCACAGGGCCGTCCTACCGCTGTGCTGACCCCCCCGGACAGGTCCTCAGCCTCGTGCAGGAGACGGATCAGGACTTTGAAAGCGGAGCAGGGTTCAGAGGTGGAGAAGGGCAGACAGTCAAGGTGGGGGGCACCACGGACAGCTGCCCATGAGTGGAGGCTCTGGAGAGAGGACAGTTAGTCCTTCACCCTTGGACATGGCCAGTCAGCAGAGCGTTCTTTCACTATAGACTTGTAGGGCATGCTGTGTGCTCCCATGAGTAATACACAAAGCACATTGTTTTCCAGACACCAAGTTACAGAGCGGCTTCTGAAATACTCAGTGTCTGTGATCTGGGCTCCTTCTTTTGGCCAGGGACATAGAGTTCAGGGTGTGATGTCTGTGAACTGAAGGTTTAAATTCAGGTTAAGGGGGTGAGCCTAGGGAGCATCTGAAGCTATCAGGAGCATCTGGGTAGGGAGCACCTGGGGCAGGGAGCACCTGGGGCAGGGAGCATCTGGGGCAGGGAGCATCTGGGTAGGGAGCACCTGGGGCAGG